CACCTCTGAGATTGGAATAGGGGGTAAGCCATTTAGCCATTGGTCAGTAGCTAGTAGGCAAGTCGAAGCGGAGGACATGAAAAGTGACCGGTCACTAAACAGAGGGAGGGAAATAACGTACACGTGTCAGGAACACAACTGTCGGACCTTATCCTAGCAAGTGTACACTTGAGACCACAGTATAAAAAATTGGAAAGAATTATCTCCCCTTCTCTCCTATCCTCTCACACTTTTCATTTTTGTCATTCTCCTTACAAAAAAATTAATATAAAATGTTAACGTGACTTATTCATAACGTTCAAATAGAAAGGGAAGGAAGATGAGGGACAAAAAAGAGAATCCCAATCTTTGTCCAGGTACTAGGCGGTTGACCACAATCGCGACTAATTATTAGGCGCTTAAAAAATAAAAAATAACACGTCACCCCGACTATACACTCACTTGGACCACTTAGGTCGCGATTTTCACATAAACAGAAAAATAAATAACTTTTATTTTGCATTTTCTTCATTAAATTGTAAGAGATTTGTTGGATCTTGAATGAACACTCATTATATATTTATTCTCCATATTTGTAATATAATATAGTACTTTATAATTTATATGTTATTCTATTTTGTAATTTATTTGTCTCAATAGAACTATATATTTTAAAGTAGGTAAATATTTATTTATATTTTACATGACAAATTTAAGTAAAATTACCCAATAAAAAAAATAGTCTATGGAAGCCCAAACGCTAAGCTACTGCCTACTACTCAACTAGCCTTTTAGAAGCTTGTTATTAATAGTAAGCAAGCAAAACACCCACTCACCATTTGTTTTATTAGAAGAAAAAAAAAAAGGAAAAAGAAATAGAATAAATTTGAAATTGGATTACAAGTCCGCCCTTTCCTTGTAACAAGTGCAGCTGGCGCGCACCCTTTTCTCCTCCCGCTTTCTTATTTTTAGGGAATTCAAAGCGTGGGTCCCCCTTTCCCTCTCTATCTTTGTCGGAAAATGATCCTTACCAGATCATTTTATTGGAGATTATGGAGATCCGTGCCGTGATCGTTTATCGTCCATCTTACGATCAGATGTCATTTCAAAAATTAAAAATTAAAATTGAATATAAATAATACCTAACGAAAACTGACTGTACAATGTATGATGAACGGTTACGATCAATGGATCTCCAAAAAAAGGATCTAGCGGATTTAAGATAATTTTTTCTTAAAGTAACTTTATAAAAAGGATCATTTCAAAATTTAAAATTTAAAATTAAATACAAATTAAAGATAATTTTTTGGATAAAGTACAAAAAACTATCTCAATTATTGATGTCACGACATTTTCATACATCATCTTTTAAAATTGACAATATCATACCTCATCTTTATAATTTATGCCAATGTAATACCTTCCGTTAGCTTGACCGTTTATTTCTTAGTCAAATGTTGACGTGACTTGATCTGAGACCCATTTTCTATTAAAAATTAATAAAATATTATTAAAAACTAAAAACAAATTATTTAATAATTTTTAAATATTAAAATAATAAAGAAAAGTAAAAAAATAAAAAACCCTCACGTCCCCTTTCCCCACCCCCCTTTTCTCTTTTCTCCCCCATCTTCGTCTTCTTCCCCTTCTAGCGCCCTTCCTGCAACCCAGGAAAAAGAAGAAGAAAAAAAAAAAAATACCAATTTATCACCCCCCCCCCCCACACTTGCGATTTTCTCCGACCCCCCTTCCTTTCTTCCCCCCTCCCGTCTTCCCTAAACATGCACCCATTACCTGCAACCCAAAAAAAAAAAAAAACCCAGGAAAAAACCCAGATCACGTTGAGGTGGAATGGGGAAACCTTCGTGATGGGGTGGGAGTGGTGGATTTGGGGTTGGCAGGGGGTTGGGTTTTCTTTTTTTGGGGGGGGGGGGGGGGCGGAGGAACTGGGTTTGGTTTTTGTTGGGGGGGAACGAACTGCGTTTGGTTTTTTTTTTTTTTTTTCCTTCTTCCTGTTCTTCTTCTTTCTGGGTTGCGTTTTTTTTTTTTTTCTTTTTTTGTATCTTCAACAAAAAATAAAAAATTTTAAAACCCAACCCCCCCCGGAAGAAGAAGATGGGGGAGAAGAGAGAGGGGGGAAGGGATGAAGTGGGGGCTTTTTTTATTTATTTTTTTTTTAACTTTTGTTTTAATATTTAAAAAATATTAAATATTATTTTTTGTTTTTAATAATATTTTATTAATTTTTTAATAGATAGTGGGCCTCAAATTTAAGCCATGTCAGCATTTAACTGAGAAATAAACGGCCAAGCTAACAGAAAGTATAACATTGGCACAAATTCTAAATATGATGTATGACATTGTCAATTTTAAAAGATGAGGTATGAAAGTGTCGTGATACTAATAGTTGAGGTAGTTTTTTGTACTTTACCCTAATTTTTTCTTAAAGTAACTTAAAAAAAAAAAAATGTAGACTATTCAATTTAATTTATGAATATTTTAACCTAAAAATATTCAGATTCCGACAAATATTGAAAAATCACAAAACCGATATCATGAAAATCGTGGAACACTATAAAAGAATATGAAACACATAATATATATATTTTTTAATTAGTTTAGCCATTGGATTTAAATTTGAACCGTTAGATCTTTTTTTAAATCATTGGATTTGATCGTATGAAATCTTAGCAGTTGGATTCAATGAATTTATAAATATAAAACTACAAAAAATATATATATGGTGGGCCGACCCCACTACCCAGGGAGAATCATAGGCTAAATTTGTCCCAGAAATGAGTTATGAGTTAAAACTCATATTTGGCCCAAGGGTTGGAGCAATATAGGGTAAGTTTAGAATATAAAATTTGAGTTTTACTCCAAGAGTTGGAGTAGGTCTTAAGGGTTGTTATTTGCTGCAGCTCTTCTCATGCTAAACCTCCTATTCGTGGACTTTTACATATCGATTGACGAATTATAAACCTACTCCAACTTACTCCAACCATTAGACCAAATATAAATTTTAACCCAAAATTCAATTTTGACGCAAATTTAGGCTAGAATTCCCTCTAATTGGTGGCCTGGCCTACCATATATGTGTACTTTTTTTTTTTTTAGTTTTATATTTTGAAATTCATTAAATCCAACGATAGCAAAAAGATCTAACGGTCTAAATTTAAATCTAACGGCTAAAATAGTTAAAAAAAAATATTTTCATGTATTTCATATTCTTTCATAGTGTTTCCCGAGTTTCATGGTGGTGATTTAGTGATTTTTCAATATTTATCGGAATCTAAATATTTTTAGGTTAAAATATTCATAAAATTAAATTAGGATAGTCTACATAAATTTCTTCTTAAAAAAAATTACTTTAAGAAAAAAAAAAGTATCCTAAATTCATTCTTTAGTAATTTCGGGTTTAAAATTTAACTCAAAAATGTTGGAGTAGAAAAACTATTAATGGGTTAAAGTCTAAATTTTTTTAGTTAAAACTTTGAGTTTTTTAATAAGGACAAAATAAAGAGTAAAGTGAATAGTACCAAGATTGACTTTTTAGTGTAAAAATGTGGTTTTTCGTTAAACTGAACAGTACTGCGAGCTTTTCGTTAAAACTCTATTTTTTTTTTATTTGGTGACAATTTATTTGATTAACTAGCACTATATGGAATTTTCAAATTATGAAAAGTTGAGTGGGGCCACCTATCCCCAGTAGCCACTGCCTGCTTCCGTCCATACACGTGAGTTAGTAATACCGCATGCTTGATATTGCAATTCAAAATGTACCAACAAAAATGAACTGTTAGACAATTTGGTAAACAAAATATTGAAATACCAATAGGGAAGGGGAATTGGTTAGCAATTTACTGGTCTTGTGTTACAAGGAATGAGAACCAAGATTTTAGCACAACTTATGTAAAAAAACACTACATACACTTGCAAGCTTAGGGAAAATTATCAACAAACAACAAAGTTGACATCCGAAATCTTTACGTTAAACGTTGCCATAACAACTAGCTTCCAGATCGTTTGCGGGCATGAACACGATCATGTCCTGCATCTGTATAAACCATGCTTCAAAGGGAGAAGGTACTGTAGAATTGTGATAAACATTACAGGAAGAATTGGGTAAGTCTAGCATTACTCTTTTAAAATCTGAGCTGCATTTTCGCAGCTTAAAAGCTAAGGACTGGTTTGGTATTACTATGCTTTGAAAAAAAAACTGATTCTGCTGTGCTGTGAGAATAAGCTCATTTTTGTTGCATCATGTTTTCAGCTTTTTTTTACCTAAAACTATGAAAATAATCTGTTTTTAAGTGTTTACCAAACATTTTTTTGAGCTCAGCTTTTTTTTATACCCACTTTTATAAAAACATCTCAGTACCAAACCCAAATTAGAATGGAGGTAGAAGAGACGAGACGGCAAAGGCTACCATAGATGGAGGTAGAAAAGTGTGAGTTAGGATCAGAGATGATTGTTGGACTGAGTTTCTGGGTTGACACTTTTTTAATTAATTATTAAATTAATAAACCTATTTCTAATTTATTTTTAATTTAATTAGACTAATGAGACTCATTTATGTGTCGCATGATCACATAACAAATTTTTTTACAAAACTGTGATGCAAGGATGACATTGATTTGCGACAGCTAGAACTACATTGATCAACAGATTCACGGCACCTGCAGCAAGATAAACCAGAGTTTTCTTCAACTCAACTCAACAAAGCTTGAACCCGGTATCTAAGTTTGAATAAAACAGAATCCATAAAACCAAAACAGTTTTGCAAATAGGGAATTCGAGATCTCCAGTATACCTAGAACGACTTCTCCTAGTCCTCGACAATGATCTCAACGGGCAGCCTATGACAGGTGAAGGAGAGCTGCATTATGTTTACACATACATAGCTGCAAATAATATACGTGTATCACGGTCACCTATCATATTCTCACGTTGCAACACCGATAACTAAGCCTTACCGGCATGTTTGTGTTGGAACAGAGAGAGAACCAAAACGAGAATGGCAAAGACAAATCACTGAAACTGAAACTGAAAGGCAAAGGGTCACAACATTTAATTCTATATGCTAATTTTTAGTTTTTTAGAAAGAAAAAACCTGTCAGAAGTTACAACAAAGAAGAATGGTTTTCTAAAAACGAAAGAAATGCCTGAAAACTTGGACAACTCTGTCTCTTCCTCTCTTGTTTCCCAATCTACTTCTATAGTTGTATCCAAGGTTATAGAACCTGGTATAACGTACAGTATCACGATGCATCCATCTAAAATTGTAGCATGGTTCTTCAAAACGAAAGCTGAAGACAATTGTCGAGTACTAACAACATTCTTCGGCACATTTCATCAATTCTACCTTCTGGCCTCACCACCAATCCCACCAGGCCCGCTTCCACCATGACACACACAGCCCTCAAAATTGCATCACCATTTGATACGTTAATGCAGTGGTTCAAACCCCAGTCCGATTATCTAACTCCCTGGGACAGAATTTATACCTAGTCGAAATCAGTGGACTGCTGGTTCAGAGAACATGGTAGAGAATTGGCTGAAACCTTGCCTATCTCACGCCTAAAACCATTACTTAGAGATCCCAACTCTGTTACGTCATCATCACTATCAATGGTTTTTGGAGTTGCACGATTTTGATAACTTCTGCGCTGGACAACAAACACATTGAAGTAATAGCTTACCAAGTCTTCCCTTGTTTTTCTAAGAAACCACTTGGATGCACTATCCCAAAAGGAAGAAGAATTTGAGGTATTTCCCTCAAAAAAAGGGGAATTTGAGTGATTGAACTTTACCAAATCCTTGAATCTCTTTTCTTCTTCAGCTGTCCACCGAAGAGAAACTTCCTCACCCATTCGATCAAATCGCCAATGATAGAACAAGGAACCAAGCTCTCTCTTCAATTTCATCCTAGCCTCGGTAATGTGAAATCGGAAACATGCAACAGAACCTGGAAATCCACAGCCACAGTTATCTTGTCTTCCTTGGCCAATAAGATCTGTTTCACTAAGGGGGCCGTCTTCTTCACGTTTCAAGGGCCATACCTGTGTGCCTAGCCATTTAATATCACTTTCAGAAGCCACCCCAGTCCATTCAGGGACATCAGCTTGAGCATGAGCGCCTATAGAGACATCCTTTTCGTGGGGATTCTCCTCAGACGTTGCATCAGTGGCCAATAAATCAACTTCTGCAGAAGCTTTCTCCATAGAATCGTTTTCCACCTCTTTTTTATGGCAACAAGGGCATGATTGAGATTTAACTGAATGAGGAAGCCTTTCACTGCATCGAAACCTCCCTGAGCACTGGCGACCAGCAACAATATTATCTTCGTACAACAATGGATGCATCTTTAGCTTCTTCTGCAAGTTTAGACCATGATCTGTTTATAAAATTGGAAACTAATTTACTTTCATACATGGATATTCACAGTTCCAGGAAAACAAAAATTGGTGCAGAAAAGGAAAAGGAAGAGCATAGTTAGACAAACTTAATGAACAAGAAGCACCTGATCAAAGAGTTCGGATATTGCTGAATTAAGTAGGGTTGAGGTGTGAACTATCTGGAAACCTGTTTAGGTTTGTAGTTATTAAGGTGGATGGCGATATCATATTGTGGAGGTTAACTTACTCGAGGCCGAAACAGTGGCAACTTATCACAGGGGATGATATTCATCATCTCATTAATAACTTAAAAATTTAAAGATACAGCAACAATTCTTTAATTTCATAGATAAATGTTACGGAGCAAGGAGTACACTCGAACGATTAACTATACTATGCATATAAAATTCAAGAAATGGCTGTAGTCAAGAAGCAAAAGGAAAAAACATTTAGGGAAACACACAAACAAACAAACAAATGTACCTGCTGGAGACATTCTTCAGTCTTTGAATTAACATTCCTTCTTATCAGCAATGCCTCCTTTGCTCTAAGTGCTTGGACCCAGCACTCGTCATCGCTCCTATGCTCTTTCCACTTTGTTGGCCCTGGTATTGCTCCAATTGAAGGATCATTTGGTTGCTTTGCAACGTGGACTACCCAGTTTAGCATTCCTACCAAGTATTCTCGCTTTCTTTTACGATCATTTTCCTTTTTATTGAGACTAGATAGTGATATCAAAATATCACTCTGATCGTAATTACAAACTTTTTCGTCATCATCACCATTGCATTCTCCAGACACTAGATGAACCTCTCCATCACTTTTGCCCTTCCGCTCTGGCCAACCCGACAACAAACCTCCAAACTCTCTCACCAACTCCGAAGACAACGGATGCAAATCCCCATTTCCCGAACTCCTAGTTTCACAAATCTCCCTAAACCATTTATCCAGCTCATTCAAATATTTAAAGTAAATCAATTTCACAGAACACATTGCTTCCTGATCAAAACCCAATTCATTGGCAACAAAAGACCACAAAATGTTCTTCGAAACCGAATCAATCCCACCTCTATCTTTCACCACACAGAACAATTTGAACAAATCAACAGGTTGCCTATCACCAATCACTGCTGGGACAGGCCTAACAAAACCACCTCCATCACCAATTTCCTTAAGAAAAACAGCTAAAACTCGATTAAATATACATCTTAGCCTACCCATTTGATCACCCTCATCAAAATCCACACCATCCTTTACAGAACCAACATGATTGGTTTCAGGAAAAACACCATTTTTCTGACATGTGTCATTAGTTTCGACGCAATCTGAGACAGACCCAGCGGTTAAGGATGACCATCCTGCCATGAACTTCGATTTGACTAATGAAAACCCAACAAGAATCTTTGTCCCAAAAGATAAAAATTCAAAACAACAGAAACAAATGATTTCAAATTTTGGGCAGAGGGTGTGAGACCCCTTGCCCTCTTTTATTTGCAGAGTGTTGTGGAAATGTCGTTTGTTACCTGGACATTTCTGGGTTGCTTCTTTTTGGTTTTGGCTTCGGAAAGCAGCCACCTTTGTGAATTTGCAGAAATGCGGAGGCGGCAAAAGGGACAAGGGGATGAGCAAGGACAGGCAAGAATAACGTTGGAATTGAGGAAATTGTCGGAAAAATGATAGCGGGTGACACCCTGACAGTACCAGGTGGACTCAAAAATTTGTTTTGGACAGAGATTAGATTACACACACACACACACACACACACGTATATATATAAGCAGAGGGAGGAAACAAATGTTTATACTTTATTGAAAGCGGAGACAATGCAAAAGAGAAAAAAAAAAAAAAAAAAAAAAAAAAAAATTCTTGAGAGAAACAATTCAATGAATCTAATTTATAGATTTTTTTTTTTTTCTGGCCAAAGAAATAGAAGGTTGATTTTGAGAGATGTGTTTTCTGAAATGGGTGGATTTATGAATTAGATGGGTCGATCTAATATTATCTATGTCTTTGTATCTCTTTGGTTTAACTGACGTTTAAAATTTTAAATAACCATTGATATGAATATACGACGTGAAAGCTATTTACGTTTTCAATTGTACTCTCGATTTCCAATTTAGGACTATAGGCATACATTTGCGCTAAGACGCGGGAAGGATTAAAAGAATGTGCATGACATGGCGCTGGAAGAGCTCTGAGAACATACTCAAAATTAATAAATATATTTTAAAAATATAGATCGGCACATGATATAGAAGGGTTGGTATAATCTACCAATATATTAGATTAAAAAAATCAACCAACTTTTAGTTTTGTGATATTTCTTTCAATATAGGTCCTATTTTCGAATCACCATTTTTAATTTATCCAAAAAAAATGAAAATTTCAAAAGGGAGAAAATAGTTTTATGAATCTTTCTACAATTATTTATTTTTAATTTGGGAAATTGGTTGTTTATGTTTTTTATTTGGCTTTTCAAATTTGAGTATATGGTATTATGCAATTTTGTAAGATGCATTATTGAAAGTTAGTGATTGTGCTAGCATTTATTTTTTTTTAACAAAAAGAGTTTATTTAAAAGAGTAAAGCAATTAATGATACAAAACACAAAATCTATCCAAAATGGGAATAATATTATAAATCTTAAGCAAAAAACAGAAATAGAAATATATTTATTAATGGTTGATTTGCATAAAATTAATAAAAAGTTACAATGTTAACAATATATCAACAACATTTATGTTAATTATGAATAGGTCATCCATGTATTGCGATACTTAAATATATTTAAAATAAACAAAAATTACAAAATATGCCACTACAACTAGCACCCAATTCGTCTAACACCCCTTTCTCATATTTTTAAATATTTTGGAACAGATCAATACAGATTTAGACATTGCAACCCAATGTTTGTTTCCTGATTGTGTTTGTCACATTTGGATTCAGACGCTGTGTTTCAGTGTCCGTTTCATGGTTCCGTTTGTTTTTCACCACTCACATGCCTCCTACGCTTCACACCTTGCGTGACTCCTAATTTTTACATTCGGTTTCAGAAACTACAATGTAATATCCGTTTCCTTGTTTTGTTTCTTTACATTTGGATTCAGACGTTGCGTTGCAATGTCCTTTTCCTAGTTTTATATTTCCCATCACTCACACGCCTCTTACGCTTCACACATCGCGTTAGGGGTGGGAACTTGGAATCAAAACAAACCAAACTACATGTAACAGTTTGGTTTTTGCGGTTTTGAACCGGTTTTGGTTTGAAACCGAACCACAATATGGAAAAACAGTTTAGTTTTGGTTCTAAACATCTAAAACCGCACTGAAATTGAATTGGACACAGAAAAATAAAATAAATACTTAATTTAATACCAATATTAGGTAATTTATTTTGTAGACTTTCTTTGTTTTGTTTTTTCAATGTGTTTTGTTACTCTTGTAGGCTTTTTAAAATTTATAACAACTAATGTAATTTGACACATCCCAACCCAGAATGTTCACTAGGACTCCAAATCGAGTTGTGCTGGCCAACACTTAGATGGTGAAGAAGGCATAAAGTATAGTGATGTGGAAAATGTGAATAAATTTAAACCTAAAAGTACCTAAAAACAAGAGTGCGCTGTGAGCGGGAATGAACCAATTTCACACGCGACGTCTGACAAGGTTCTAAAAAAATGCTAGACGCTAGTTGGGCGGCGGGCTAGCGCCTAGTGCCTAGGCGGCTAGGCGGGGTCTAGGCGGATTTAGGTAAATTTCTTGTATATCTTGTCAATAAATGCATATTGACTCTTACAAAAAATTATACTTGTATGAAATACATAAATAAAAGAATAAAAGAATGATAAAATGCAAATAAAATATCTAGCAAGTCTAGAATTTAAAAACATATTAGGCATATACATTTTAAATGACTATATCTAATTTTTAAAGATTAAGAGTAAAAATCCGGTTAGGTGGTTCATAATAAAAAGAATTCTGAAAAGGTGCGTATGCATCCTTTCCCCTGTCCATTCCCAACTTCCCATGCCTCAAATCAGCCAAGACCCATGCCTCACATCAACCAAGACAGTCAGAAACTCCTAAACCAAGGAGTCCATTTTGATGCATTGAAAACCGGAATTTTTTTTGTCTTTTTTATTCTTTCCTTTTCATCATCCTCTTCGTCTTCTTTCCGTTCCCTCTTCTTCTTCTTCTTTTTTCCATTTTTCCTCTGTAATTTCTCCTTTTTTTCTTCAATTGCTCTACCCAATTACCTATCTTCTCCACCTAATTAAGTTTCTTGTTTCCTCTCCCTTCATTCTTATTCGCCTAATTTCCATCTTCTTGCTCTGTATAATTTTCCAAAACCTAATCATGAGTCCAGTCAATTTCCTCAAGCACAGCGAAGAAATCATCTCCGGCGAAGAAATATGGGCTTCCAGGTCAAAGTTCTCGTTTTTTTCCTGCAATTGCACTATTATTTTCTGATTCCTTCTACATATCTCTCTCACGTTTGCTCTTACCTCACGCTCTCTCGATTTCTCAGTCGTCACAATCACGGTGTAGTGAGACGGAAAATTTTAACAAAACCATCGCGGAGGTCGCTTAGCTCAGCACCTAGCCCGCCTAGGCACCGCCTAATACCCATGCTGATTTCTTGAACGTTTTTGAAATAATCGCAGCGGCGGCCCGATGCCCAGTGCCTAGGCGGCCACCCAGACCGCATTTTAGAACACTGCGTCTGAGCATAAGTAAAGTACAGTAGTGTGGGTAAGGATTATACCATTAGGCGTAGCCACCTATACTAAGATTTGCCAAGAATCCTCGTCGATGCGAACTTTCAGCAGCTAAAATCTGGAGGGGTGCAAAAACAAAGGTGAGTGGGCCTGAAACTAAAGTTTTTAATAAAAACCTTTTGAAAACATTATAACCCCTTACCGTAAAACCCGTATAATTTCCCAGAAAATAATAATACATACGTATATATAAATCATGCTTGAGAGTAATGAAAACCAAGTATATGCCATGTCACTATCTCAGCAGTAAATATGTAAGCTAGGTGATATAAATCAATGTAAAAGTGATATGCTAGCTGAAGTCACCTAATGTGACCTGTACGGCTGAACCTATTGCTCATTAATCCAGCCGGAGTCACCTAATGTGACATGTACAGCTCTAAACCTACACACGAGTCGGAACCACCTAATGTGGTGTGTATGACAGGTTGGGTGTAAATAAGTACGCTCAAGTGCTATGATCACGTGAAGGCTGTGCGAAGTATCGCAAGTCACTTACAAGTCGGAACCACCTAATGTGGTATGTACGACAGGCTGACACCTGACTTGGATTCAAGCTAAGCACGCGGTGTGGGAGGTGAACGATCACATGAAAGCTAGGCCCTGGCCACGGCCGGAGCACTAACACTAGGGTGCAGGATAATGAGCTCTACGTGCATCAACTCATAATCAACTACCATGCAACCATACCGTCAATATATACTCACATGAACTTACATGGGCCTCCGAAGCATCATGCAATATTATGCAAAGTTATACTAATGCATATGCTAAAGTGTAATGCAATTGACATGGCATTTAAAAACGTAAATCCATTTAAAACAATTTCTGGGAAAATGAAAAACATATATACATATATATAGAAAACCAAAAATCCCACTCACCTGAAGTCCGCGCTACAACTCCCTAGCACAAATATCAAGGCGTCACGAACGATCGGCGCCTAGAACAATTATCAAATCATGTCTTAGACTTCTTATCAATAGAACATATAACTTACATATCCTATTCGGGAAGATCCGTACGTTAGATTCTCAATCCGTAAGTTTCTAATATCCTCAAATATTACGTATTATAACGTATCAAAGTTTGGTGACGATCTAACGGTCGGATCGTCGATTGCTATAATAATCAAGTGGCGAACCTTAATGAAACTAAGTTCAAATGACGGAAATTCGCCAAGTGGATTTCACCAATGAAATCAGGGTATTAAAATTTAGACTAGGAAGATCAGGGGAAGTCTCGGCCCATGCGTCGCTGCAGGTGGTGGTCGGCCGCCCTGACTCGCTGGAAACTTCAACTATTTCTAAAAATTCTCAAACTTCACAGAAATGAAGATTTTAGTGAGTAGAGAAACTTTCATATCTGTGACCAAGGCCAATTTGGACGGGAAACATCTCCAATTCCCTTCGATCCGCCGAAAACCCCATAAAAGGTGAGCTTCAATTCTCATTCCTCGATGTTCCGCCACCCCTAAAACTGATTGGGCTTTGTTCCAGGGCTCAAGGGGAGCCTAATGATGGTGGTGGTGGTCGAAGGAATCACCTTCGGGAATGACGGATCGCCGCCTAAGACCGCCGGACCTATCCACTCGGTTCTTCACGTAATCGGGTCTAATTTATTCCATCTTTGGGTGGAATTGGTAGAAGAAGGGTCAATGAGTGGTGTGGTAGGGATGGATTACTGCTATTTGCTGCAAAAACAACAGAAAACCACCGGAATTAACACTGGGTTAAAACCGAGTCGCGCGGGTTGGCTGGGTATACCGGATTAGGGTGATCTGGTGCATCCCTTCTCTTTCCTTTCCCCTCCTTTCTTGTCTCCCCCATTGGTCACTTCCCTTTTCATTATCTTCCTCATTGGCCGGTTCTCCCCTCCTTTCTCTCCTTTATATTTCATCTCCACCGCCCAACTTTTCTTTCTTTGAATCTGGGCCACACACGTGGCTATCTAGATTTGGCTCCAAAAATCTGGAGCTTTCTAGAAGTAATTAATTGACCATTTAGTCCATAACTTTGTTCGTTAATAACTTCTTCGTTATAACTCTAAATTGCGTTTCATTTGCGCCCACGCGTCTGTAGTGATAAGTACTACAAGAATATGCCAAGAAAACGAACCTTACGTGACACAACATGGCAGTCAACAAAAGTCAACACTTTGCCTCGAAGGGTATTTTTGTAAATTCACATTTAAAAATCATAATAATTGGGGACGAGTCGTTACATAATTTGTATAGTTTATGTATTTGTATTTGTAGAGTTGGTCAAATTGAATTCAACTATCACCTCTCTTACTCTTAATCCACAACCAGAACAACAAGCTCCAAGCCAATCTCAAGCTTCTAGTTCACAAGATTCAACAGTTTCTCATCCATCGGTTTCATTTTCACAAGATGTATGGTCTTCCCAAGTATCACATTCTCAAGCATGTTCACAAGCTCATAGGCCTCCTACGAAGAGTAAGTGTCCAAAAATAAAGGGAAAGAGAGGGGGTTGAACGATGCAATTAGGTTGTACTAATGGCATAAAGCATTTAGTTTGCAAATTGTTTGAAACTGAAACCAAAACCATTTGAAACCGACTTGAACTGCAACCAAATGGTTTGGTTCCATTTCAGTTCAAGCTTCAAAACCGCACTGCAAAAAAATTTGGTTTATCTTTTGGTTTCACCCAAAACTGCGTCAAACCAAACCCTACCCACCCTACCTTGCGCAACTCTTGATTTTTACATTTAGATTCAGACACCGAAATTTAGTGTTTGTTTCCTGGTTTTGAATTCCATGTCGTAGAAGTCTGTGCTCTCTCATCTCACCATCTCTCTCTTGGCAAACTTCTCTACTTCACTAGACTAGCTCTCCTCTCGGTGATGGCTTGGACGGAAATTTAATATCCTATAACATATTTATTTACCTAATTAATTGAATCAAACCCCATCGTCTCTACCATTTAAAACAAATTAATCTAATCAGTGATTGCTTGGGGCAATTCGAGATCCATGGTCTTAACGCTGTAACATATTTGCAGAACTAAATGATACCTATAATTTCTAGGAATAAACACAACTTTGAATTTAAAAAAAAAAAAAGAAAAAAGAAAAAGGAAAACCAATATTTTTGTTCAATACCCAAATAAAACATTCACCAAAATCCCCATCACACACCTTCCTAGTGCAATCACCATAGCCACCTTGCTATGCATACAACAAAGCTTCATACATGTTCAACCAAACTATTTAACCAAAAACACTTCATAGTTGAAGAATAAAAATGGAGGCAGATATTGAATGCAGATAAATCCCTGTGTCGGTGAGGGGGCGGCTGGGTTTGGAGAGAAAAGAGAGAGAGAGAGAGGCAAAGAGAGGAGAGATAAACATAAGAGAGTGAAGAGAGATAAACAGAGGAAAGACATGATAGAAAATCGGGAGAGAAGGGAGTACATGAGGACAAGAGAGGGGAGGAGATAAGGAAGTGAATAAAATGAAGATAGAATGGTACAATAGTTATTTTCTAACTAACGTATGTGGCATGCTTCATTGATTTATGTATAATTATTATAAATATTTCATTGACTGTCTCCAAAAAAAAGAAAAAATTTGACCATTAATATATGATTAATTAGTAAAGATTTTATTGACTAAATAACCTTTTATTAATTTTATGTTCTTTAAATTGTTAGAATATATAATATATTTTGAAAATTGCGGATGGGTACGTGATATAGAAGGTTGATAAAAAAAAATAATCAACCATCTTTTAGTCTAGTGATACTTCCATGATTATTGGAAAATGTCTTAAATTCGGGTCACCATTTCTAATTTGCCAAAAAAAAAATAGTTATAGCAAGTTGACCTTTATCACATTGGTGGAAAGGTGTTGAGTCTTTGTATGAGGGCGTGAGTTCAAACTCCGTTAATGACTAATCTAAAATCTAATTTAACAAAATTATCGTTTGAAAAAAAACAATTATAAAAGCTTTATAGTTCACTCCAGTGTAGTGTGTTAAAACAAATCTACTAACATATGATATCGGTATTGCCTAAAACGAAGGTTTTCGACAATATTAAGGAGAATCTTAATACTAAGTTGCAATGTGAAAGGTTGGGCAAAGCCGTTTTTATTACAGGAGGTAAGGAAGTGCTATTAATAATGTTCTAAAAGTTCCCACCTAGTGCCACCTGGGTCTTGTCTAGGCGCTTGGCGGCTAGTCACTACTACGATTAATCTCTATCGTTTTTAAAAATAAGAAAGGACGTCTAGATCTGCCTAAGTGTCTGCCTAGACCCGTCTAGGTCATGACTTTCACTTAGACAGAAAATAGATTACTTCCATTTTATATTTTATTTTCTCAATAAATTGAAAAAAAATTTATTGGATACTTTGATGAACACTCATTCTATTTTTATCCCCATGTTTTCAATATGTTAGTACTTTATAATTTATGTAAGATTCTCAAAGGCATTAATCACTAGTTGGGCGGGGAACTGGGGCCTAGCACCAAGGCTACTAGGTGGGGCCTGGGCATATTTGAGTAAACTTATTATATTGTGTAAATAAGTGTCTGTTTATACTTAAAAAAAATACATAATGAATTGGGATACATAAATTGAAAAATAGAATGACATATATATTAAAAAATATATTAAAACATACTGAAAACATGGGGAACCAAAATATCATGATTGTTCATCCAAGTATTCAACAAATTTCTTACAATTTATTAAAAAAATAAAATGAAAAATAAAAGTTAGCTATTTTCTATTTAAGTGAAAGTCGTGACCTAAGTGGGTGCCTAACAGGCGCCTAGATAGGCTAGGCAGGCGCCTAAGTAAGTTTAGGCATCATTTCTTAATTTTCAAATGTTTAAGGATTAATTAAGATGGTAGCCAGCAACATATTGCTAAAGCGGTTTTAAAACAGTGAATTTATGTGTCATTCTATTTTGCAATTTATGTATCTCAATACAGTTATGTATTTTTTTTAGGCATAATTAGACATTTATTCATGTTATATAATACATTTAATTTTAAAAAAAAAGAAAAAGAATCGCCTATGTTCTAGGTCAATGTCTGCCACTTGACTAGCGCATAGTGACTTTTAGAACTTTGGCTATTAAAAGTGGTGGGATTGCTGAGTCGACTCATATCCCAACTCAGTGAGAGGAATACACACTTGTTCGATACACATGATCGATTGAAATGAAGAACTCTCAAATTTCAAAGTACATTGAAGATGAAAGTGAACGATTTTATACATGGAGAGGATTAAAAGAAGATTAGCCAAGAAGAAAATTTATCCCTTTTTTTTTTTTTTTTTTTTATCGAAAAAAAAAAGAAGGGATGAATTTTCCTACTATTTAGAAGAGAATTAAAATAGATAAGTTTTCTTCATGGGCAATTCATCTTTTATATTCTAGGTGGTCAATAATTTTGTAACTTCTCCCTTCCACATACTTTTAATTTAGTAAGTTATTCATTTCAATCCAATTATGTATACCAAATGAGCCCGCACAATCTCAAACACGAAAAGAGAGAAAATCTATAAACAAACGCAATTAGAATTAACACTGACGTGTGTTATATCTATTCCCACGTGCAAATAGAAGAAGCTCTCCAACATTCACTTTCATGTTTTGTTTCTTTATTTAAAACGTATTTTTAATTTGGACGTAATAATCTGCAAAATACATGAAGAATTGACAAAAATAGAAAGAAAAAAAAAGAAAAGAAAAAAAGAGAGGTCTAAATAGCATAAATGAACTTGAAATATCATAATTGAACTTGAAAACTATATGGTTGATTGTCATGGTGATTAGTATTCTTTTTTAACCCACTACGTTCCAAATACCAACTTTACCCTCTCACCTTAGTGTATTTTAGTGTCAAATATCGTTGTAATAAAAAGAACAGCGTTATTAAACTTGAAAACGCATATGTTATTTCAAATTTAAAGGATTTGGGAATAAAATGGAAGATGCATACAACTTGATTAAGAATACGAACACAATACACAAGTACAACAACATTGGAGAAATACTTGGTCAGAATAAAACTAAAGATCCCAAAACCTCACACCAAATTGTAAAACAAATAAATGCAAGGGGACGATTAGAAATTTGGATTTTCTCTATCTAGGGTTTCTGCCCCCTGACAAGGAGCGTTCCCTGCGCCTCCTGTACGAGTGCGAGTGTTCATCCGCCCTCCTACCATATGGAGAGCGTGATCTTCCTCGGCGGTCCCTGGGATAAGGATCTCTGTCTTGCAACCTGCGAGGTGAATAGCTTCGAGATCGTCTATGGTCATGATCACGATCACGATCACGGTCACGGTCACGTCCTGCATCTTTATAAACCATGTTCACATGAGATATGAATACTGTGTCTGGATCCTACATCAAAACTAGCATCTTCCCATCTCAAAGGAAGTTGGCACTCTAGACTTATGATAAATGGGACATGACGAAAAGGGTGAGGTGATATTGTTTTTCATACCTCGGCTGCATTTTCAGGGCTTAAAAGCGTGAGGTCAAAGAGGAAACATTTTTAGTGAAAATTAAATCAAGTTGTGCTGAACAGGGAAGGAAATTTCAAGAGGACCACATTCCTCCATCAGTACCCCTCAAACAAAGCATTATACTAGACTCTAATCCAAAAATTAGGTATGGTGAACTCGATTGTACACCCGAAATGTAGATCGTTCAGATCTAGAGGGCCACGCACAAAATAACACACTAGACCTTCTGTGGTAGTGTGTAAAAGGTTACGGGGAAAGGAGTGACAAAAGCTCTATGTGAGGTTTCCAACCCAAGGCCAGCAACCATGTACAATTGCTAAAAAATTATAATACCGATCCATGTCTGTACCTCGTTTATCTCTCAAACCTTGATACCTTCCGGGAGTTGGAGTCCTCCCTCGTTTCCTTTTTGCCTGCATATTTAACAAAATGCAAAATGACATCACGGAAGATAAATAAGCGAATAGATTAATCGAGGTGTGAAAAAAAAAAGGGCAGATAAACAAGTTAACAATCTACTCAAAACAGTCCATATGCAGCTGCTTGCAACTATTTCAAACTACGTGAAGCTAACTGGCCATCGCAATGATTATGATCCACACAATTGGAAGGTCCACAGCAGTGCATTATCGCATTTTTAACGTCACCTTCCTAATTGTATACCAAGCCAACGGCATGCCTTGCTAACCTTACTCGCGGCAAGGAGCTTTTCTGTCCAACTTCCAACTTTTATTTTAATTAGATACAACATATAGTTCGGATGGATTAAGTAGGAGAACCCAAAAAGCAAATGTGACAAGAAGAATTTACCATGCCTCTAGGGTATTAAATATTGTGGTTAATAAGCAACCATGGAAAACGCTGTTGCCAACGAAAAAGAGGGATAAAGGGCATACAACCCTTGGCAAAATAGTTGAGTTTGTATCGATGATTTTTGAATGTCGACGCAGAAACCCATGTCGTGAAGGGGATAGTTTTGACTGTTTAGAGCTTAGACTGTGAATTCGATGAAGCTACAGTGACCAGACCTGCTGCCAAAACTTATTAGGCAACATTTTTTAAGAGGTAAAATCTTCACAAGTAAAAGTTTAAACAATTCCACTGCATACTGCACAGCAACCTTCTCGATCATTTGACAGAAACTAATACCTTTTCCACTGTAATTAATCGACCTTCAAGCACAGACCGATCCAAATATTTGATGCAGCGTTCTGCATCCTCAACAGTTTCCATTGTGACAAAGCCAAATCCACGGGATTCTCTGGTGCGAGGGTCTGTAACCAGATGGCAGTCCAGTACCTGAAACAAGAGCTCATTTGTGATTCTCTCGGAATAAGATATGTATTAAGGCTCTCAAAAGACAATTACTTTCCAGGTTGACATGAAGCTATAGTAAACATGGAGCATGAGCTATTCTATGTGAAGTCTAATAAAGAAAGGACTACACATTTTCTAGGTACAAACATAAAGTTAGAAGCTAGAACAGTTATTTTTATCAATCAATAGTAAGGCTTCACTTGAATATCAGGACTAAAGTGTAAATGGAAGGGAATCCATTAAATTGCCACAGATGTCACCCTCTTCTTTAGAAGATAGAACTCAAAATTATCGCTTCCTTTCTAGGGAGATCCAAGCATAATAGGCTAGTAAGCTACATGGGAAACAAGGTACCTATCCAGTGATGGGTAGTTAGACTAACTTGTATCCAAAGTACTCGTTATAACAATCTCCCAAGTTGGCACTTTCTTTCCTTGTAAGATATTTGTGCTTTGCAGTCATTAGAACTGCAAAGCGCAATAAATTACATCGATACGAAGTTGTCCCAGGGTAAGTTGTACTGTATAAGTTATCATTCTCATATCAGGTGTTCCCTATATGATTTAAAAACTAGATGCGCAATAACTCGTACCTTCCCCTGTTTATTAAAAAATTTCTCAAGATCAGTGGAGGTAACCCTTGTGGATAAGCCTGTTACGTACAAGTTGTTTCCAGGATTGGATGCATCGACAGATTCATGGCTCCTGCAGCAAGAAAAACCATTCTTCAACTCAACTCAACAAAGCATGAACCCAGTATTTAGGTTTGAATAAAACCAAATCCATTAAACCAAAACCGGTTAAATATAGGGAATTTGAGATTTGCAGTATACCTAGAACGACTTCTCCTAGACCTCGACAATGATCTCGACCGGCGGCCTCTGACGGGTGAAGGAGAGTTGTGTGGCGAAGCGGACCTAAGTCAATAATCACCAAAATCAATTGAGAAATTGTGGGACTACTATCATTGATTCGTTATTAAGTGAACAAACTTGCAATTCCAAATAGAACTTAAAACGGATTCTGACCTTCTTTCTCTTGGGTATGGCATCTACGAGTAGACACAGAAAAACAAGTATACAACATTAGATACCCTTCAAAAATATTAAACATTCAGTATAATGTATCAATATAGCTGTCGGGAATGCGTGTGTACATTCATACATGCATACAACGAAATACGGGCCTCCAACCATATATTCATTTCAGATTCTAATCCGCGGCGAATAATATACGTGTATGAATTACTGATAATTTGGTTTCAGATTCATAGATTAGTCAAATAAACAGCTTCATTAACTTATGATTATCATTACCTTTACTTTCTAGGACGTGACTAAAACCCAAAAATACATAATTCAGCTATAAAAGTTAAAATTAAACTCAATGGAAGGCATAATTAAGTCACAAACACATATTAGACAACAAAAAAACCTAGAAATCTCATAGTTTCCTGCATTTTCTCCGGACGTTTTCTTTTGCTGTTAAATTAAACAGAATAATTCGAAATATTCGAACAATTTATGAACGTCTATTTAAGTAATTCAAATTATATCAATCAAAATACCAAGAAACTATCGAAAAATTGATTGGGCAAAAAACATTAAAGAGGTTGAAATCTCTAGATGGAAATTAGGGGAAAAGATTGGAAGCAGATTTACCTCTGGCTGTGGCTGGTGGAATTGCTGAGTCAACTCGGATGCCCTAACTCAGCGAGAGGAAAACTGCCTCAGACCCGAAAGGGGAGAAAACGTATAAACAAATGCAATTTGGACGATGCTTTCTCAGCTCCCACGTGCAAGTAGAAGAATCTCCAGCATTCGCTTTCATGTTTTCTTCCTTTTCTTTTACCTTACTTTCCACCTAAAAGTTTACTACTTAGTTTTAATTTTAAGAAAAATGGTAAGGAACTATCTTAAAGCGAACTGTTTGGGCTCCGTCATCTCATTTTTTATAGCATAATATTTTATTATATTAGCATAAGAATTATGTCAAAAATATGATATGGCCGAGAATTCATGGAGAGTCTCATTTTGAGAGTTTCCTTAGCATTTCTCTAATTTTAATATCTAAACCTTTATGTTAAATGTGATCTTATATCGTATACAATGGTAGGACCTACATTCATTAAAAAGTTTCGTAATGTGATTAGTTTTAAACATCTAGATATTAATTACATCGTATACAATGGCAGAACCTACATTTATGTTAAATGTTATCTTATATTGTATACAATGATAAGATCTACATTTATTAAAAAGTTTCTTAATGTGATCAGTTTTAAACGTCTAGAGATTAATTACGACGTTGACGAACTGCAAAATCAATACCTTTTAAAACATTTGTACTCGCATATTTGGCCCGAGAATGTGTGAATAACGTCAGCCTTTTCATTTTCCGTTTTTTGTCTGCATCTGGTCGTTCCTCAAACTCAAATTAGGCCGTATGAAGATTACGGGAAGAAAATTGATGATAATACAGCTTGATTAAGAAGGAAACTATTGGGCTCAACCAATTTTTATGTTTTAAACTTTGAAGGGTTCCATCAAATCAACCCGGCGGATAGAATATTAATGGAAATACGGTATTGGTTGATGAGAAATTATACAGAAACTGGAAATCCAGGTTTCTACAGCAATAATTTTAGGCGTGCTTGCCACAATCTGCCACCGGCATGGGTGATTTTCAACCGTTGATGTAAATAGAGTCCTGTAATAACGATGCAAAGTCATCCATGAACGGGGCAATTGTCGCTGACATTTTTAACAAGGAACGGAAAATACATTCTATACGCAAATGCAAATTGAACCATCAAACTTACGGTGAAGAATATAACAATTACACACCGAGTTCAAAACCGGTGTATTGAAATATATAAAACCTCAAAAGTTTGAACAATGTAAGGTCAATTCAAGTGGCAATGAAGGAAAAGTACAAAGAATGGCAGAAAGATCAACAAAAAAAAAAGAAGAAAAACTCGATAGCCACTGCTGAGTTTACAAAAACCAACACACAAAAAAATATAAGAGATTCACAAATTTTAAACATATAAACAGAATCAATCCTTGAGGAGAGTCTCCATGGCTTCAAAGAAAAGAGGTGCTGTCTCCGGGCTTGGAGTCTTGATCGCAATCTTGACCCCGGGGTTATTCACGACTGTGGTGAGTTCAATCAAGAATGGTATTCCTCGAGGGATTTTTGCAGAGAAATAGAACACGTCCTGATTGGCATGTTTGCGCTTCGCAATAAAGAACATGTTTGTAGCGGCCAGGCGGTCCAGAGTCACTTCAACATTGCTCAACACAATTCCAGGGAAGTCCTTTGTAATCTCATTTGTATCCGGAAGAGACCTCCACGTCTGTAATGGGGATAAGCATCAGTGTTTTAAAATGCTACAATCAAGACTCGTTTAGTTCCAGACTACACGGGCATCAGTGTTTTAACTGGCAGTAAATGATCAGAAATTTTGTATCAATAAGTTCCAGACTACACTGCTTTCCGGTATTTTTACCCCCATTTTAACTTCTGTAGCAAAACTTTGTGCTAAAATATTCCAAATTTTAATTTACAACCCACATTTTGACCCACTTCACCTTCATTCTAACCTAATCCTTCTCTTTAACAAAAAGGAAATATAGCAAAGAACCACATGACCACAGCATTGCTGTAGTAATGACCCTAATGGAATGCTAGGTGTCCATTGTTGTATCACCTCCCAACCTAGCCCCTTTCCATGTCTAACCGAACTACGCCATTGTTTAAATATATACTTGAATCAAATAGTCAATAAACTTTAAAAAGGCAACATAAATTTTCAGCTTGATGTGGGGTCTGATATCTACTAGGCGAAGATGCAAATGACCCTACACTAAAAGTTGAAAGAAAACAGAAGGTGCAAGATGATTTTACCTCAAGAAAATTTGCACGCTCCATTCTTCCATCATCAGTAAAGAAGACATGCAATGAGATTTTATCGTTAAAGTACCAGACTGGTTGTTGAGTGTTTTTCACAGCAACCTGCAATAGTGAGCTTGGAGGACCTTGAGACATATTCTGGAATGTAACCATAGGCAAGAGAGTCCCCGCAGATGTCCCAGGTTGCAATTGTGGAACCTAATGGGGATCAAGGTATTTGTATTATAAATTTTTGTTTGGGAAGAAATCTCACTCAATTTACATGTTTAATAACTACCTGAAGGGGTCCAGCAGCTGCAAGGCCAAATGTATTTTTGTTGAACTGAATCATGAACCCGTCCAGCGGAATCTGTGTGTTGTTCTCGAACAATAAACTGTAAAATATTTGCCCTTCCCTACGTGTCAACTGAGCACTGATTTGTAAACCTTGACCAGTTGATGCTGGTAGCACGACAGGCAACGGAGGTCTGCAAACAAGGCCAGAAAATTCAATAAGGTTCTTTTGATACTTACACCAACATTGAACAACGACTATTTGCAGCATCTAAATTAAACACGGGATTCACTTTATCAAACAGTTCATATAAAAGGAGTTTTTCTTTTTTTTTTTTTTTTTTTTGGCGTGAGCTCATACCCACAGAAAAAGACTAATGCTCACAAAAAAATGGAAACCAAATCACACACAGCCAGCGGGGTCAGTCCACTCCACATGACAAAGTATCCACCACACAAATAAGACCACTATGCAACTTCCATTATACTTACCCAGCAGGAGAAGCAGGCTGATCCACAGGGACAATAGCACTATTTTCCAGGCCCATCAGGTCACCAAGTAAATCTGGCACTGGAGCAGGTGGAGGTGCAGGTGCAGGCACACGTGCAGGTGAAACTGGTGCAGGTTGTCTAGATGCAGCATATGGAACACCTGAACTAGAGCCGGTTGGGGATGCAGAACTATCAGCAACATGAGCAGGTGATTCAGAATTTCCTGTTTCGCTACCATAGTCCTCATCTTCAGTTCTTTGGGCTGTGGTCTTCACACGGGTAACAAATGCTTCTGGAGGCTTGTGATACACAGAGGATAACGTAGCAATGTTAGCAAGAAGCTCATCAAGAAGAGATGGATCAATCAGGTTTGAATCATCACTGATCACTGGCTTCTCAGCTAACACCACATCCTTGGCTGCCTGTGAGATAAGAAGCATTCCCATGAGCTCAATACCATAACCGTACAAGGATATGCTATTCTAAATTGTCAAACTATGGTTTTGCAAAGGGTTCACAGCAAGCCATTGTACTCGAGTGGAATATACATGAGCACAATAATGGCAACCAGTAGTAATCTTCACCTAAAATAGATTTCTAACCCCAACCTGTCCCCCCAAAGAAAACAAAAGCGTAAAAATAGATTTGTGGTTATACATGTAAAAGAAAAGGGGCACGCATTAACCATTGGATTGACAGAGAAACAAAATATTATATATCAACTAAGGGGGAGAGAGGGAAAAAAAGATTGGTTTTTATATTGAGAAAGAAATGGAAAATCATTTTGGCCAAACCCACCTCTGGGTCAGTTGATAGAAGACGCCAATATATGTAGGCCCGATCTCGCAAATCAGGATTGTCTGTTTCCACAGTAGCATTATTTAAAACAACCTGCAAATATGGATCTATACAGTGAGAATTTTACTTGGATAGTATCTAGAAAATACAACTATGGCCCAAGTACGCAAGGAAATACTTTAGAAGTGAATAAACATATAACCCTTAGACATTCGCATTCATAGTAAAAAAGAGTGTCGCCTCTTAGGTACTACATTATATTAGAACAACGAAATCAGAACAATGGCTGCTTTAATGATGGTATTCTGCATTCTAATATGTCATTTATGGTAAAAGAAGGAGAACAGAAGCTAGAGAGGATAACTATGCATGAATAGTACAAAAGGAGAACCTGTATCATCTGCTGTGGTCCTTCAGTTGGCTTCTTAAGAAAGAGTTTAACAGTTGCAGTCAGCAATTGCAATTGGACATGAGCAGGCTCTTCAGGGAAACTTTCCAGAAAACTTTCAAGTAGCTCATCAGCATTGTCAATTCGTTCCGCATATTCACCAATTATCCAGATCATGGATGCCTTTTGGGGAAGAAAAAGTGAGAAAGAACATGAGCATGGAAACATGAAGTACAAATCAGAAGGCTTAAGCAGTGAAATATTTTATAGCAAAGCAAAAAGAAAAAACATAAATCTTAAGCCAGGGATACTTGAGTACCTTGGCTTCTGGTTCATCTAAAGTGTCAAGGCTTTCACACAGAGTTGCAATAATGGACTCATAGCTGTAATCAAGATAGCAATCCATTACAAAGTTTGTAAGGGAAGATTCCTTCATCAACAAAATTCAAAATTCAAAAAAATGAAAGCCCATAACTTACGTATTTGGATATCTTCTAAATATATCTTTGATGACAATAATGGCCTCTTGAACTACATAATTTACTTTGATCTTAATAAGCTCCAGTAAAACAGTAATGCACCGCTCAGCTGCTCTTTCTAATTTGATGGCACAGCGACCAATGGCACGGACAGCTTTTCGGACAAAATCCACATCTACTTCGGTAGCATACTCTTTAAACTCCAACAAAACCTGCAGAAATGTTGGAGCAAGCATGATTTTAACTCCACTTTGAGAGGTGACAACTTTCAACCATTAAAGTCTAATATGAAAAAGTAACTCCTGGCAAGATCTACATACCTGGTCTATATTTCGGTCTGAAGCAAGCTTTATCATGATTTCTAACTTTTCCATCTTTACATAAATTGGATCATTGTACTTGCAGAAGAACACCTATAAAAGAATCGAGCGTTATGGGAGCTTGCCTTGCTTACGATTCGGCTACATAGTTGATAACAAGTATCAACTCCTTGTTAAAGTGGATCAA